ACTGAAGTGTAGCGTTTGATGATTATAGGATCGTAAAAACGTAATTGATCGAAAGTGCTGGAAGTTTGGGATTATCTCTATTTTTAAGATTTACTAAGGAAGACACTTCGGGTACCAAACGGCCTTTTTTCGTCAAAGTTATTATATCTCACTATAATTTCTGTAGAGTCATAAGTGGACTCCTAGTTAACGTAATTATCCAGTTTTTTCTGGCAATAGTATTTATCAGTAGGTAGTGAAACCAAGCTGTCTATACAGACATGAGTTAAGGTATTTGGCATAAATAATTATCAATAACATCCGTTAGTTACATCTTAATAGACCATAAGATGTTTTAATCTGGCAGAACGTTCTACCCTACAGACATGGATGGATTGTGGTTATCTCCCCACCATGTTTGCAGGTGTATAAATATTGCCTTAATCTAATTCCTACGTTGCACACCTTGTTGGAATACACTGTCGCCAATTGTTCTATGTTGCAAGCAAATCTGTCAGCTAAAGCTTTTGTATTGTTGGTTATACATCTAGTTAGTATACCACACTGCCATAAAGTTAATTGATCGTATAAGTTATAAAACACCGGTCATATGATATGTGGTTTAGAGATGGTAAGGACTGGCAGCTGGTCAAAAAAGGGTTGCGAAATTTGTAAGATGAAAAGTAGGTAAACACTTTGAATGCTAGTAATAAAAAATTGAAATTAGTGGAACATGAACTAAAAAAACTATCAATGATTTAGGATATTTTGAGCTTCTTATGATCGGCCGTCGTTGAGTAGCATTCAGAGTCTAAGGTATTTCTAAGGTACAATATATGCAACACCGTCGATAGTTGTGGATATCAAAAGAAAACCCGAGAGACATTGTTGCTTAATAGTTTTAAGAAGGTATATAACAAAAGAAAACGCATAAAGCTGTGTCGGGACTGTGACATGTAAGATATGGAATTACAAAGGCTGTTCGGGGCTTGAATATTTTCGGTTTGTGCCATCGCCACTAGGTGCCAAACTTGGCATTGATGCGTTGGAATTGTGGTCTAACCAAGACCTTCGCATGCGACTGAGAAATTTGTTCTTCAATTGATCATTAACCTCAGACCTAGTAAGACACCAGGCCTCGATAGGTTACATCGACGATTGCTGTCATCCCTCGCGGAAATCATTTCACTGTCGCTCACGATTTTGTTCAACATGTCTCTTTTCCACACCCAGCTACCTGGGGATTTGAAGATGCTATAGTTGTTCCTATATTTAAATATGGAAGGAGATAGAACATGCCTAACTATTGATCTGTCAGTTCAACTGGCAAAGTAGTTAAGCTACTTGAAAAAATAATTCCGGATAAGTTACCAAGTAACATCGAATCACACGGTCTGTTAACTCCTGAGCAACATGCGTTTCGAATTAAGTGTTCATGCTTAACCAACTTACTTATTATGAGAGAGGGTTCAACAGCAACCCAACATAATGCTTTGTCCCTTGAGATCTTCATAGATATCAACAAAGCACTTGATAGGGTTTGCAACTTAGGTATTATGTAAAAGAGCTGTAGAATAACAAGTACCGTACAAGAATAAACAAGAAACTTTTGTGGCCAAAGATAGTGTAGGAGTAAGTGGGACACTACTTGAATGGAAGCAGGTGAAAAGTGGTTTACCCCAAGGCACCATCGTAGGTTCCCTACTTTTCCTACTCTACCTCAGTGAATTACCCCGACGATAATTAGTGAGGCTGGTCGTCTTGACCTCCAAGATGGATATTAACCTTCAGTTGTATCTAGGATGCACGTTCTGTCCTATTCAGGATTCGTCAACATCGTCGTCCGATGTTGATATTTGGACCTGAAATCAGCCATAGCGTCTTTCATCTCAGGAATTCGTTGCACAGTCAAGTAGATATCTGGACTCAGTATCCCAGTGAATAATGGATCTGGAACAAAGTGTTCCGTAATCGAAACCCACTGTGAATTTCAAGGATGGGGTGTAAGTGCATAGGATGAAGTTTTCTCCTTGGATTCCACTGTTGCCCAATACTCAACTCTACAACAATATCATATTTTATTAATTAATTGGGAATATAAACAGTACTCTGCATATCTATCTTCTTTCTTCCATAGAATGTTACAATAAGGTTTCTTCTCTATTTTTGTATGAAGTTCCATTCTTTTTCAATGGTCTGTTTCTTGAAATCAGAATTACCTTTCAAATTTTCTCGTCATCAGATTGTTATGAAAATGAATTTAGCTATCTATGTAACTGGATTTCCAACAGTAAAAACTTGTGTTGATTTCCAATAGTATTTTAACAAATCGATTTTTAAGTTTATTTAAGGCAGTTTAACATTGTTTACTTTTATTCTAAGGATAACTAGGTAGTTGAATAAATAAAAAAAAACAATATACAAACATTTTCTATAACTCAACATAGAAACGCTCAATGGTAGTTTCATATTTTATGTATAAGTGTTATTTCAACAACGCTTAATGTACGATTAGTTGTATGTATTCAACTGTGTAAGCATGTATGTGTGTGTAATTGTGTTCTGAGTATGTGCATGTGTGTGTTAATTATATACTACTGAAGTGAATTTACAGGGAAGTCAATGAGACAAGTGTTTATTTTGCGTGTTTTTGATAGATTTCTCGCCAGTATTTCGTACATTATTAAACCTATTTGTTATGGATATTTTTCTCCTCTCGAAAATCCACAGTATTCCAATGGGTACAAAATATGATTTGTTAAAACACTCAGCTTCCAACCTGTACGTTGAAGGGCATAATCCCTCTTCGTCTACCTCGGATTGGATATTAGACATGGATCACAATCATCCGTAGTTAAAGTGCGTTTAGCGTCAAACACATCAATTCGTACTATACCAATGAGTTACATCTAGTATCGAGGGGAATAAATACGACCTTACTGATCAACAACTGATCATTTTAATAGAATGGTTTTGTTCACTGCAGTTATTACTTCATCAGTGTATGCAGTGGAACTGATTTTGATGTTCAGATTGGTGAGATCAATGAGCACCATGCATTTGATAAATACGTGAAAATAGACAAGCAAATAATTCCATAACAATTTGGAGATTCGTTACCTTGATTTCTACGCAACCCGTCTTAAAACTTCACCAAAACTCATAAGTATCAAAATGTATTTTGTGAGTTCTGTCTCACTTCCATGACCGTTTAATTTGTGATTATCCAAAGACTTACAGTTGTATCAGCTATGTCTGTATCAGTGAGTTTATTATATCAACTAATTTCAAGGGCAAACCGTATCATTTTGTGCTGTCAGAGTTTTTAGTTTTCTAGTATTCTTACGATAAATTCAAACTAGTCATTGTTCGATTCACTTTTATTTCGAAATGTAAAATTTTTACTCAATAATTTTGTTTAAGTTTCTATGTTAATTATGTTTATCGCTTGCTGATACACTTTTCACCACTTGTAACACGAAGCTATTTTATTTTGAAACATAGTTTAGGAATAGTTGGAGAGAACATACGTATTTATTAACAGTTCATTCTTATGGGAATTTAACATGTTAATAACGGTAATTCAATGATCCGAACATAATGTTATTGGTAAATTGTATTCCATAAAATACATCACACAAAACGAGATGACATTCAGATTTTATAAATATCATTGTCAAAGTTCATCGTGATGATTTCAAATAAATTGATTTTTAAGTAGATTGGTAATAATAAATAAAGTGATATGTTGAAATATTTTAATGAGCAGAGAATTAAATTTCTGGTGTTCTACATCTCGATGTAAGCCGCTTCTTCAGAGAATGAAGCTTCGTTTGATTCAATTAAATCATTGAACTAATTATTGACGAAGTGACTTACATTAAGTTCTGAAATGTCACAAGTTCAGTCTTCCACTCATTATGATATTACGAATACATCACTTTATAGTTCAAGTTTAAGCGAAATGAAATCACATTAGGTTTGAAGGTAATCCGTTCACACTTGGTGGTTATTTCGTATTAGTTTTCAAAATATCTTGATTTTCAGTGATTTCATCACTGATTTCTCTCCAAGATGAAAATTAGTCTTAGTAAACAGTTAAAACTGTTGAAAATCTATGTCTATGAGCTACTCAGGACTGATAATATTTTATGGTAGTCGTGATAGATCTATATTTGTCTGAGGTTGGATATGTAAGCCAAAAGGTGTTTATTGTGTGATGTGAATATATCATGAAAGCTCAGAAACCTGAAGGTCTTAAGTTCAAGTATGCTTAATTTTGTGCATGAGTACTGCTAGGAAGTTTCAAACTAAAATGAAACAGTTGTTTATTGACCTCAGATTTCAATCATTCTCCTGTTAATGTTACTTTGTGATGAATATTATCTTGATGATAAATTCACACTGAGTTCATTAAAAGAGTCATTTATAATATAATTCGGACCGATCTTTTCTCTTGTCTCTTTCAGACATTATAAACAGACTAGCATTTCTAGACAAAATGGATCCAACTTCAATTGGTTAATACAGTTAAAATATCATCACAAATATTTTTACTATTGAGCATTATACAAATGTAATAAAATTTAGGTAATCAAATTACATTACGTATGTGGACTCTTGATAATATGGATTGGAATAAAAGGCATCTGAATGTAAATGAAAACATAGAGTTTGAATCGTTCATAACAAATGAGCCAATGGAAATGAAGCACATCATTTAAGATCCATTAAATTTAACCTTTTAAGAATCTGAGATAACCAAAGTAAGCAAAACTACTCATGTATTACCGATTTCGTTAATTTCACTATGAAATATATTTACGTTGTAGTGATTTCTAGTCATAACATATGTATAAAATATATATTATATAATGTTGAATTTGTTGGAAACAGTGTCACACGTCAAATATCACCGTCGCATTTTGAAGTGTCATGTTTTTATATTGCCCGTACCATATTTTTTAAAACTACTCTAGGATTTACCTTCATTGCACACTGAAATAGATGATCAACTGCGCATGACCTATCCCAAGTATGCCATCCCGTACTTTATAGATTCGTCAAATGTTGCTACCACTAATCCTATTCTTAGGCGACTGACGTTATGGTACGTTTTAATCATTTAAATATTTTTCAAGAAAGTCGATGTTGTGTACTTTTTGGAGGTTAATAAACCGTAAACTAAAGCAACTAACATAAATCAATGATTTAAAAGAGATGCTACTCGGATATCTGTCTTTCATGAAACTGAGTGCACTGAGCTGGATAATTTAATTGTTGAGCTTCCATTGTCAATGTGGACAATACCAGCGCCTACTACACGTTGAAGTGAATCTCTAGATGTTCGACAAGCTCTAAATTAGTCAATTCTGCTATTGCTTTTTATGACTGATCATGTCCATAGGTGATTACACTTTGTACAGTGGTAACAAATGATTGTTTATTATTACCCTGGTACCAAGGTGTTCTATTGTGGTGTAAAGTAGAGTAATCTGAAAATATCAAGGAAGTTAAGCTTAGTATGTAGTGATTACAGTTCTTCTGAAATATACGATTACATTTTATGAATAATCGTTCGAATTTCCCCATATTGCTTTGTAGAATTTTCACCGAGATATAAGTGACGTGCAAGCATTGTAGTCCTACTTGGTTACTTACGTACGCCTGCTACTCCTCGTGAAAGAGCATAGGCATCTCACCACAATTCTCCATCCAACCCTGTCCTGGGAGATCCTTTCCAGCTTTTTCCAGTTGTTATTCATCCTTTTCATATCTAATTCTATTTCCCGACGTAATGTGTTCTTTGGCCTCCTACTTTTCCGCCTCCCTTCAGGATTCCAAGTTAGGGCTTGCTTCATGATGCAGTTTGATGATTTGCGTAATGTATGTCTTATCCATTTCCATCGTCTTCCCCTAATTTCCTCTTCAGCTGGAAGCTGGTTTGTTCTCTCCCACAGAAGGCTGTTCTGATGGTATCCGACCAATGAAGGTTGAGTATCTTACGTAAGCAACTATTTATAAATACTTGTACCATCTTGATTGTGGTTGTGGAAGTTCTCCAAGTTTCAGCTCCGTACAGTAGAACTGCCTTGATGTTCGTATTGAAGATTCTCACTTTGATATTGGTTGAAAGTTGTTTTGAGTTCCATATGTTCTTCAGTTGTAGGAATGCGACCCTTGCTTTGCCAATCCTCGCATTTACGTCTGCATCGGATCCTCCTTGTTCATCGATGATGCTTCCCAGGTATGTGAAGGATTCTACATCTTCCAGAGTTTCTCCACCGAGAGTGATTGGATTGATGTTCTCCGCTTTGAATTTGAGGATCTTGGTTTTCCCCTTGTGTATGTTGAGATCTACTGATGCAGAGACTGCTGCTACACTGACTGTATCTGCATTTGTTCGTGTATATGCGATAGGAGGACTAGGTGATCTGCGAAGTCCAAATCGTCTAATTGGTCCTTAGCTGTCCATTGTATGCCTTGTTTTCCCTCAGATGTAGAGGTCTTCATAATCCAGTCGACCACCTGAAGAAAGAGGAAGGGAGAGAGTAAACAGCCTTGTCTGACTCCGGTCCTTACTTGGAATGCGTCTATCACCTGTCCTCCATGCACGACTTTGCACTGTAGTCCGTCGTATGAGTTCTGGATAATGTTGACAATCTCAGGAACTCCATAGTGTCGAAGAAGTTTCCATAATGTTCTCCTATCTACACTGCCAAATGCCTTTTCATAATCAATGAAGTTGATGTTTAGTGACGAGTTCCACTCAATTGATTGTTTGATGATGATCGGTAGTGTCGCAATTTGGTCTGTGCACGACCAATCCTTACAGAATCCGGCCTGTTGCTCTCAAAGTTGGGCATCTACTGCATCTTTCATCCGGTTCAGCCACACTCTGTTAAAGACTTTCCCTGGTACTGACAGTAGTGTAATGCCTCTGTAGTTTTCACATTTGCTCAAATCTCCTGTCTTTGGAATCTTGACGAGGTGTCCTTCTTTCCAGTCCATTGGCACTTGTTCCTCCTCTCAAATCTTCTTGAATAGGAGGTGAAGCATGTTTGTAGTTACTTCGATGTCTGACTTCAGTGCTTCAGCTGGTATGTTGTCGGGTCCTGCTGCCTTCCCGCTCTTCATTTATCTGATGGCCATTCTGATTTCTTCCTTCGTTGGTGGATTGACATCTATAGGAAGATCTGTGTATGCTGCTTCGATGTCAGATGGATTTATTGGAGCCGGCCTATTCAAGAGTTCCTCGAAGTACTCTACTCATCAGTTCCGGTGTTGTTGAGTTTAAGTGATTAGCCTGCCTTCTTTGTCCTTGACTGGTCTCTCTGGTTTACTATATCTCCCTGCTAGTTTCTTCGTTGTATCGTGAAGCTGTTTCATATTTCCTTCTGTTGCAGCTTTTTCCGCCATCGTTGCTAGTTCTTCCACGTATTTCTGCTTGTCGGTTTTAATGCTCTTCTTCACTTGTTTGTTTGCTTATAATTACTCAGCTTGTGATTGGAATTTCTCTGCTTGTGTTCGACTGTTGTTAATTGCTGTCTTCTTGTTCTTCTTTTCATTGATCCTGTCCAGTGTTTCTATAAAGATCCATTCCTTGTGATGACGCTTTTTGAGGCCCAGAACCTCCTGACACGTTGAAGTTAGTGGTTCTTCCATACCTTTCCAGTTGTCCTCCATAGTATTTTTTCTTCTATTAATAGATCCTGTAAGGCTTAGAACCTGTTGTTTAGAGCTATCTTCAATTCATTGAGTTTGTCAGTATCTCGAAGGAAAGCTGTATTGAACCTTTGTAGTGTTGTTTGTCCAGTTGTCCAGTTCTTCTTTAGCTCCAGTTTTAAATTGGCGACAACTAGGTGGTGATCTGAAGCCAAATCAACTCCTCTCCTGGTTCTCACATCTTCCATTGTCCTTCGGAACTTTTTATTGATGCAGTTATGATCTATCTGGTTCTCTGTGGTGTGGTCCGGTGAGATCCATGTAGCTTTGTGTATACGTTTGCTTGGAAATATTGTGTCGCCTATGACCAATTTGTTGAAAGCACATAGATTTGCAAATCTTTCTCCATTTTCGTTTGTCTCTCCCAGTCCATGTCGTCTCATGATATCTTCATATCCGGTGTTGTGTCTATTCCGGCTTTGGCGTTTAGATCTCCCATCAAGATGGTGAGGTCCTTTCTTAGGCAATTCTTTATGTTTGACTGCAACCTATTATAGAAATGATCTTCATCGTCGTCATTGCTATTATTGGTGGGTGCAGAACATTGGATAATATTCATTGTGATCCCCTCCTTCTTTGTTTTGAATGATGCTTTGATGATTCTGGATCCGTGAGATTCCCATCCTACAAGTGAATTTCGTGTTACTTTGGGCAGCATTAGAGCAGCTCCCTGAGTGTGTGGAGCATTGTCCTCTTCGTGACCGGAGTATAGCAGCATCTCTCCCGTATTTAGCCTTTTCTGTCCAGCTTAGGTCCAGTGGGTTTCGCTGATTCCCAGTACTGTCAAGTTGTATCTCCTCACTTCAATTACTATTTGACTGGTCTTTCCGGTCTCCCACATTGTCCGGACGTTTCATGTACCTATAAAAGCTGTTGCTCTGGTCGTTAGAACGGACATCGGCCTCGTGACTTCCAAAGGAACTCGGCTTTCACCATGAAGCGTCATAGTTCTTCTAAGTGAAGACCTTCTAGATCCCAGGGCAGAGTTTAAATGGTTTGAATTATTTTTTTTCTGGTTAGCGTTCTTTTGGCGAGTTAGTTTTCTACAGTATGGGGTCTCTAACCCCATGCCCAACCCTCGTCATTTACCCGGGCTTGGAACCGGCAATAACCCTAGAAGAGCTACAGGCGGGGTTCATTGTAGTCTATTGTGTAATAAATATTGCAGAAATTGAGTTAGATATTAGATCAGTTAGTCGAAAATCTAGACGAATATAGTATTGTAGATTTCGTGAGTTTTAAAGAAAATCATATGGTCAACATATTCACTCATTCAAATTATTCATCCACTTTCCAGTAATTTCTCTACCCATCATGTAATAATTGGAAATATCATTCAATCAGTGCATAGTGATGTAAATATCACCAATCATGTTGTTCTGAGTAGATCAGTGTTTATGTATCTGAAACTGGGATACTCAAATTTAAATCTCATGTGAATTGTTCATGCCTTCATGATTCCAGATACGTCATACTGGCATATACTAACTAAGAGAAAATCTAGGTGGAACATGTGGAGTTAACACTGTGATATCATAGCGTTGTACATTGGATGGATTTACTTAAAGTGTGATACTCACCAACATAAACAGAATATCACGATTTACACATTAAATCAATACGTCAACATAAATTATATACAACCACTATGACGAATCACCTCTAACTATTATCCTTGCTCACTTTATATTTAGAATAAGAGATACGAGGATGTCGTTTAACTATGATTGTCAAATCTAATTAAATGTTTATGCAAATGATGGCTCAGAACAATCAATTTCATCGATTAAAATATTGTTTTGTGGCGTTGGTAAATCAACCTTGTAAATTCATCTACTGAATAATAAATCAAGTAGTTTAGTTCTACTTTTATAGAAAAGCATTTACTTGGATTACAAAATTCACTAAAATTCAAACTGTAACGCGAAAATCAAACATAGATCACTTCCATTCTTATGGCATACGTTGGTGCTTGACGAAATCTCAGCACGGATTCAGAAAGCTCGTTTGGCTTTTACCAACTTACGTCACCTATGGCGAAGGCGAGATATCCGTCTATCAATTAAGGGACGAGTATATTGCGCGGCAGTTCGTTCTGTTCTACTTTACGGCTGAGAAACGTGGCCGTTAAGGGTAGAAGATACTCGTAAGTTACTAGTATTTGACCACAGATGCCTTAGAAATATTGCTTGCATCTACTGGGATCACTGGGTAAGTAATATTGAGGTTAGACGCTGGGTATTAGGGAATGATGGTAAAGCAGTTGATGAGGTTGTGAATCTTCATTGGCTGAGATGGTTACATACGCCTGAACACCGACCACTACGATGCGCAACGCTGACTAGTGTTGTAAACGGATGGAAGGAAGTTGGGGGCGACATAACC